GATCAAGAAGAGGAACCAGAATTGAAATTCACATAACAGTCTTATAAAAAATTGTTATTATAGGAGCATGTTTAAATATGAAAATTCTACAGAATAAAATGACCCCATTGTGTACCCACAACAGAGCTTCAACCAGTGTCAACTAATGCCACTATTTTTCTATCTCCACCCACTTCCATATCATTTTGAAGCAAATTCCACATATATGATTTTATCTATCAATACACATGTCAATATGTTTCTCTGAAAAATAAAGCTCTCAAATAAAATAACCATATTTTATAGCTTATTTACATGAATCAGGATCCAGATGAAGTACATACATTGCTTTTTTAAAAATAGCTTTTTTAAATTTTGTCTTTGTTTTTGAGACAGGGTCTCACTCTGTTGCCTAGGCTGGTACGATCAGAGCTCACTGTAGCCTCAACCTCTCCTCCCTCCCAAGCAGCTGGGACTACAGGCTTGTGCCACCATGCCCAGCTAATTTTTTGTAACATGGGGTCTTGCCATGTTGCCCAGGCTGGTGTTGAACTCAGAGGCTCAAGCAATCCACCTGCCTGAGCTTCCCAAATTTCTGGAATTAGAGGCAAGAGACACAGCACCCAGCTGAAATGTCTCTTAACTCTCCTTTAAACTACAGACTCACAATTTCTTCGTTTTCTTTTGGAATTTAGAGGATTAATCAGATTCGGGATTAATTGTTTTTGACAATACAAACCTATGAATGGGGATGTGTTTCTTCATTTAGAAGCTTCTAATTGATCCTTTCCCAGGAGAAATATATGCCATGTAGAGAAATCTCTTACTGCTGGAGTAGTCACCCTGTAAGACAGAAAAATCAGTCTTCTTTAGATATTTATGTGACAAAACGTGCTTCACAAATATGGCAAAAGCACTGAAGAAAGTGAGAGCAATTTTCAGGTGCAGATAATGGGAATGACATACGTGACAGTAAGTAGCATTCATTTATAAAATGTTCCTGGCCAACTGAGAATCGGGAAAAAATAGATAATCATTATAACCAGTTGTATCCTAATACTTCTGATGAAAATTAAAAATTCCTATGATAGCAAGTTATAGGGAGATGGTTACAACAGAACACGGCAGAAATGATCTCAAAGCCATACTCATAAACTTTTCATCATGGGACAGCAAGGCAGATAGACTTGAAAATTAATTAATCAGAAAGGCTCTTCCTGTTTTCAAAGCAGCCAGAGCAAATTGCTGATGTGAAACAATAATTAGTCCTCCTTACCAGGAAAAAAATAAATAAATACACTAACAAAACAAACAAAGACCCTGCAATACAGTACAGTATAGTTTAAACTTATAAATCTGTAGCCTATAAGAAGTTCGGCGGTGCAAGATTACTGTTATACACGGGTTATCAGGATGAATATTACAGAGGTGAGGAGATAACGCATATGCTTCAAGGGATTGTTAGAATGGAAATAGAAATAAATGAATAAGTGGAGTTTTAAATAAAATATGCATTGTATGAACAAAAATGAGTAGCTAGGAATGAGTATAATATACTCAAGGAATAGCTGTAGATCAACATAAGAAAATATGCACAATGATCAATTGCATGAATAAATGGCAAACCACGGCCAGGCACGGAGGCTCACACCTGTAATCCCAGCACTTTGGGAGGCCAAGGCTGTCGGATCATGAGGTCAGGAGATCAAGACCATCCTGGCTAACACGGTGAAACCCCATCTCTACTAAAAATACAAAAACTTAGCCAGGCGTTGGTAGCACACGCCTGTAGTCCCAGCTATTCGGGAGAATCTCTTGAATCCAGGATGTGGAGGTTTCAGTGAGCTGAGATGACACCACTGCATTCTAGTCTGAGCGACAGAGCAAGACATTGTCTCAAAACAATAACAACAAAAACAAACAAACAAACAAAAAAACAAACAAACAAAAACCCCACATACTTCTGGAGTGAGGACTCAGACTATCCTGGTTCTTGGTCTACTTTAGCCATGAGGCACCTTAGATAAGCTATTTAATTTCTTTGGGTTTCTGTTTCTTTACCTATGAAATGAGAAGATTAGATTGGCTTCAAATTCTCTGATTTCTGGGATAAGTAAACTTTTTTGAATGTTGAACACGCTAATTTCTCATTAAGGTCAATACCAAACCTAACAAAAGAAGAGCCTGTCATCTGCTACCATCATCATTTTTTAAAGAACGTGTATTTAAAAGTAGAAATGGACGTGAAGGCAGGAACTGGTCTCAGATGGTCTCAGAAATCGTGTGTGTGTGTGTGTGTGTGTGTGTATGTGGTGTGTCTCTGTGTGTGTGAGAGATAATTTAAACTAACCACACTGCTTTTATTGATTTTTTTTAAAATTTTGATATAGATTGCTAAAAACTTCATCACAGAGTCTGCCTAATCCCCTTCCCTTTATGACATTCAGAGAACTCATAACAACTAGGGTCCATTCTCCATTATACTCTGCCTCTTGTCTTTGAGCAAGCTAGTTAACACTCCAATGCATTATCTACCCCTTACAGGTACAGCATATTACGGGGTCTGATGTCAGAACAATTATTTCAGGGGATACAGATAGGTATGCCAGAAAAAAAAAGTCATGCTGGAAGCCAGGAGAGTTGTCATCTATTCCACATTTTGTCATTCCTAACGAGATAAATTTGTTCATGTTATGAAACTTCTTAAAAGAATTGTCTGAAAGTATGAGATTACCATACTGCCTTACCTCTCTCATTGGGTTGTTGTAAGGTAAATAATAACATATTTTCATTTTAAAAAATAAACTCTAAAACTAAATTATTAATAAAAAATACTAGTATGTGAAATCCCCCAAATAAACATAAATTTACTAATTCAGAGCAGGTTGTGGAACTATGATTTTAATCATTGAAATGGCTCTCCAAGAACTAAAATACAAGAATTAGAATCCTGAGGATGGTATTCCTTTTTTCTGAATCTCTAGAAATAAGATGTATATAAATTACCTTAAGTAGTTCCTATTGTTATAAAATTTTAGGATGACAATGTAATCAAAAGTGTCAGCCACCAGACACATCATTCTTTCCCTACACATTTGAAATTTTATCTGCAGTTTCGCATTGACAAAATGTTGAGAGTCACTAGAATTTAAGTTCACCAATGAATAAACGTAAGCATAAGTGGAAATTAGGACTTCGATGAAGGTGCCCAAGAAAGAATGATAAAATGTAGTAACTACCTTCCAAATGAAAAGAAGTTTGTCTTTTCTGGGTTGGAGAACACTAATTATCAAAGATTTGGCAGAAATCTACTATTCCTAATTGCATGAAATTAGCAAATTGACATTTCTGAAAATGGCAGTGATTACAACTCTACAGTGTCATTAAACAACCTCCTACAAGGTAACTGTTCTGGTATTTTACTGTTCATCACTGAAAACACTTAACTCTTGTTATTTTGATGGGAACTGTGTCTATGAAAGTTGTACATTTATGTAACATATTTACGTAAGTTCAGAATTACCTGTATTTTGATACTTAAATTTATGAAGATAGGTGGTCACTGAATTAAGAACACGCTTCCACCTGCAACCTCAACTATCGATGAAGTAGTGGTATTGTAAAGAAAAAATTATTTAGAAAAGACTCAGAAATAGGTAGCTTCAGGTATGTTTTCTGTAATTTTCGTGGAAGAAATGAAGACAGTCAAAATATGGCTACCATGGTGGTTTACAAGTATGTTTACATAAAACTCAAAATTGAAAAGTGATTTTTTCAACATGGCAGTAATTATACCCTGTTGTAATTTTATTTTACTTGAAAACGGTAAACTGAATTATATTTTTATGAAATCATGGGCAATGTCTACTTTGGTCCTGCTATATACCCAGGATCTAATAAATTTAGGCTGCCCAGGAGGTATTCAATAAAGGCTTGTTGAATTGATGAAAAAACAACCTTCAGTACTTCCAGTTTCAGATATGATGGAGAGATTACTTCTACTAAAGGTTAAAAACTATTTCTGATTTATGTTATGCTGTCTTAAAATACAGAAATGATCACATTAATTTGAGTTAATAGAACATCAAATTTTTACTTAATGTCCTACTTCAATATGAAACAATGGAAAAATGAAAAGCAAATGGCCTTTTTAAGTATTTTTCTCCATTGTGATTCACAATGATTTATTCAAAATAATTGCCTTCTGTGTAACTCTGGTTCATCCTTATATGACTAGCTGAATGACTATTAAAATATTTCTTAATACTATGGACCATTTGATTATTCAATGAATTTACACTTGCAACCTAAAAACAATAATTCAGTCAGTTAGACCAAAATCTGAAGTCCAAAAGTAATCCTTCATAAAATTAATTTAAGATACATCATACTACCAAATTTATTTCATTCTAAGTAGCCATATATCTATTGGTCATAAAATATCAACTGAAATTAATATTGTTTTGGCATTCTAATGAAAACTGAAAGAACCGTTATCCCAAAATGTTGGATAAATTTTCAAGATCCTGCCACAAGTTGATTATACATTTATATAATTTTAACTGTAGATCTGTGACAGGGTTAGGTTTATCAAAAAGATCTTTGTTACTGATGATTTGGCTAGAGTAATTATTGACACGTTATTTATGTAAAAATGTATAGATTTACAAATCACTTATGCTGACTATTTATCAAAATAACTACTTTTCAATACAACAAGAGGTAAAATATATAGATTTCATCCACACCCTAATGAAACACAAATGTTCCCCTAATGCAGAGGAGTAATTCCATGCGGAAAATATCATGTTGAGTTTATTATTAAATACAAAGAGTCATTTGACTTGGTTGCAAAAGATAAAGCAAAAATTTTACCCTACAATGAATGCAATTCTTAGAAGAAGAATTGTTGTTGTTAACATGATCATCACAACAATAGTTTTTTAGTAAATATATACTGTCTGATTCTGTAGCCATGTGTCCCTTCGACTCACCACACACTCCTATTACTCTTATGCTAGGTCTGGACAAAGTGCCAAAGGATCTTCCCCCTGACACAACTCTGCTAGACCTGCAAAACAACAAAATAACCGAAATCAAAGATGGAGACTTTAAGAACCTGAAGAACCTTCACGTAAGAACTATTTATTTTTAAATCACAATAAGATAGGACTCAAGGTATTTTTCAAAACACCACCTAGATAAGGCCAAGAGTACTATGCGCCAACAAAGAAGCACATTAGTGTTTATTAACCTCACTTTTTTAGCAGTGGTAGGGAAGCAAAGCATCATATTCATTAACCACTAACAATTTACCCAGCCTTTTATACATATACCCCATATATCTTAGGTATTTTATTCATAAAAATACTTTAGATCTTAATTCTGTCTCACGTTTTCGGGAATAAAAATTGTCTTTCAAATTAAGTTGTATTTTAATAGTGGAACAAAACACAAAATGGATTGATCCTAGCATTATTTTATTTCTTTGTTTCTTTTGTCTGTTTCCATGCATTTTCTAAGAGAGGTGTGAATGATGTTCTAAAATTTCAAAGATTGGAATCAAGTGAAAAAAAGATAATTATTCATATTTTATTTAGTAAAATATAATTCTGTCTTCATATGTATGTTTCTTGCTTTATAGTTAGGATTATGCATGCTGTGTCCTTATCTGTACGTTTATTTTGGTTTTCTCTTACCTCTCTACCCTATCATAATGTTCAGTCTATCACTCAGGATTTTATTAGAAAAGAGATGCCACTCACAAAGGGGTTTCATGGAGGAGATGTTATTGAAACCTCTATTTGCAAAGGGGCATGGGAACCCAACAAGGCACTGTGAGGCGCCCAGTCCCACAAAGGTCTAGAAGAATTTCAGGGTCTCAGAGCCATGGGAGAGGTGGGGAGCTATAGTTTCACTTCTTAATTTCCTGCCTGTGTCCCCTGTGGTTGAATCTACTTTGGACGAAAAGACAAGGGCATTTGATTAATGCATTGCCCAGAGGTCAGCTTCCCAGGACATGAGGAAGGGCCAAAAAGTACAAAGAATGAATATAGTGGTAGTTGGGAGAGGATATACTATGCAAGGGAAATGACCAACCCAATAAAATAGAGATAAGCCTTGCTAAGACAACATTCTGTAAGAGTAAATGCATCGTTTGTTCACATCGAACACCAGAATCACTATAAAATGCATTTTCTCACCCAGCTCTCTATCTGTGGGATGAGTGTGACATGGTCTTCCCTCAAAACATGAGGGCACATGAAATATAACTAAGCCAGACCTCAATGTCCAAAACAGATACTCTAGAAATCTCACCGTGTCTACTTCCATTCTGGTAGACCACTCTGAAGTACTGAGTCTGGTTCTTGGCATTTTAAGAAATGCATTAAAGAACATCTAGAGAAGGACGACCATGGAGATAAAGAATCTAGAAATTAGGTCTCACAGGCACAGTGGATGGAGAGGTGAATGTCTAAACTGAGTGTGGAGGGTCACTAATGGCACATTTGAAGGGCCATGTTGAACAAAAACGATTGTATTTACTTGCTTCAACTGCAAGATGACAGAATCGTCCTAGTGAGCAGAAATTTTAGAGAAGCAGATTTTTATTCAACATTAAAAATAAAATTTAAAGAATCAGAATTTTCAGAAAATAGAGAGACTTACCTAATGATTTGTTACCTGCCTGTGAAGATTAGAGTTCACAGCTTCGTATAATGAATGTCATAGGAATACATTCTTAATGTTGGGAACATAGACATACCAAACTGTAATTTCATATCTAGTTATTTATTTTAGTCATTATAGAAGATAATTGAGGAGGATATATCATGAGAATAGGCACTACTTAGTAAAGTATAAATATAAATCATCTGATATACATAAGCATAAAAAATATAGATACAAGGGAAATAACATAATATAAAATAGAATAAACTTGTCATAATTATTACAGTTAGTATAATGAAGATACCATTTAGTACAAACTTTCCAACAACCAAGATGGGAAAAGCAGTTAACATTTAGCCATTAGAAGAAAATATACCAGATTTTTTTAAAGGAAGAAAATTTTTTTTTTCTAAAATTTTACGACTCTACAAGGAATCATTTAAAAAATGCAGAAAGGCTGGGCACAGTGGCTCACACCTGTAATCCCAGCACTTCGGGAGGCCAAGGTGGGCGGATCACAAGGTCAAGAGATCAAGACCATCCTGGCCAACTTGGTGAAACCCCGTCTCTACTAAAAATAAAAAATTAGCTGGGCATAGTGGCGCGCTCTTGTATTCCAAGCTACTTGGGAGTCCGAGGCAGGAGAATCACTTGAATCCGGGAGGCGGACGTTGCAGTGAGTCCAGATCGCGCCGCTGCACTCCAGCCTGGACGACAGAGTGAGACTTCATCTCAAAAAAAAAAAAAAAAAAAAAAAAAAATTGATAGATAAAACAGTGCCATGATCAGTTTATTGATGTGTCCAACAATATAAGCACAATATGATATAAGTAGTGAGTGTTAAAGACATAAAGTAAAAGGAAAAATTAGGCATCATTATTTATCCAATTACCAGACACAGTTTTGAGAGAATATGCGAGGAAGGAATGTTAGATGATCAGCAGAAGTTTGAAAGGCAAAGAGAAAAGGACTTTCTGTACGAGAAGAAAGCAAAGGCGGAAGAAAATAAGCAGATAAATAAAAATACAAGTTGGCTAGAGTGAAAGAAACAGCTGAAACAATGGAGGAAAAGGACAAACTGGAGGTTCCAACCTTTGGGTCTCTCTGCCGATTAGAAACTTATTCACCAATTCCCTGCCTTCACCTTAAGGTTTTACTGGGAATGAGCTGATGGTGAAACCAGCAAAGTTTGTCAATGACTGTTTAAGCTACTGTTGGCATAAGTTTAAAAAGGAGACCATAAAAAATGAATATTACTAAATTTAGATTACTAAAATATTTTTAAAACTTTTATTTGCGTAAGTTTGCCGTTTAGCTACTTTTTTAAAGGATGAAACATTCTTACTCTCATCTCAACTTCCTGTACATTTAAGTATAACTGAATATTAAAAAAAAAAACCCTTTATATCCTTAAATAAGTGACATCTAGTGTCCGTGACATTCTTATTAAATCTGGCATTTGTAATAATGTGTTCTTTCTTTTCCCAAGTCTCCTTCTAACTATGTTTTTGAGCAGCCATCATCTTGACAATCTCTTTCTTTCTACTTCAAAGTATACATCAGATGAATAAAGAGAGTTCATTAGAGCCTTCAACCATTCAGAGGATGTTAAACAGCTATTTTTCTCTTACTCTTTCATTCATGATCCTTTCTGTCCTTGTTATTTTGCAAATAAACATCATAATTTCAGCTAGCAAAGCCACACTTAAGGAAGGAGAGAAATGAAAATTTAGCAAGGATTAAAATAGAAAGAATTTAACAGAATCATATTCCCTGTATGTACTTCATTATGAGTGGTACATGTTGCATAAGAGTAATTTTATACCTATATATAGTAGGAAAAGCTACATAATTGTTCTATAAAATGATGGAAAATTAAGTGTGGTAATGCCAACATTTACTATATTTTCTTTGAATTGAAGCTTAATAAGTTGAGTAAGGAACTTTTCTTAATTAAAAATCAACAAAAATTGTCAAAGACTGAGCAAAAGCAAACACTTGTTTAGCAGTTACTATATATACTAGGCACTGTTCTTAGTACCTTATATACATTAACTTATTTAATTCTTATAACTATTCTTATGAAGTAGTCACACTTGATATGTCCTTTAAACGGGCACAGAAAGGTTAAGTTACTTGCTCATAGTCACAGGCCAAGTAAGACTCAGAGCTTGAGATTCTAAACTCAAAATTCTGGCTTGAGTATGTGCACTAATAATCGCCTATAAATATAACTGTCACCAAAAAAGACCTTAGAACAATATTTGGTACAGTGTAATCCCTACATAAATGGCTTTGGAGAGAAAAAAATGATATTAAAAGTCAGGTTTTAAAAACATTTAACATAATACAGATTTTTCAGATCATGTTTAATACATTTAATTACATCACACTTTCAAAATTTTCCTCCATGGATAAGAATTGAATATCTCCTTTGCGATTTTCATTAGGCATCCACAATTTTGAATGTCTTGTAATGATATATGTCACCTCACTCCACTCAGCTTGCACTGGCTTTTCCCTGATTTGTGTTTATTAATGTCAACTGTTTTATGACCTTAACTCCCACAGGTTTTTGAACTTTTGGTTATTAATTGCAATGTGTTAGGATTTTGTATCAATCAACCAGTGTATCTTTCAGGATTAGTTAAAAGATTATATTACTTAATAAGAATGTTTAATTCATTGAGTAATGTGGACTATATGAGGATATACATACATTAATTAATCAGCTATTACCTTTAGAAAACATTCTTGCATTTCTGAGACTAAAAAGACTCGCTTTCCTGTTACAGGTCCCCTTCTGGCCCTCCACATTCTCATATATGTAAAACATATCCTACAATTGAAAATGTAAATTTCGACCTTAATAAGTTATTTTAAGTTCCTTATAATTAGTTAACAAAGTGGCTTGAATCATAAGTGGTTTTCTTAGACATACAGATAATTGAAAAAGAATAAAATAGTCCAAAAATAGGCCTAACAATTGTTATAAGCATAGTAACAATAAATTAGAAGTAATTTCTTATATAAGGAGAACTCAGAAATAAAAATCAAATAATTACCCAAAATATTAACTTATTTGTCATATAAAATCTTTACACATAAAAAAGGCAAAAAAAAAAAAATCAGGAGAAAGATATGTTAAGGCTCTCTGTGTCATATTGACCATATCTTTATTCTCTAAATCAATTATTAAAATATATTAAAATTTAATAAACAAGAAGTATTTCTGATCAAGCAATCTCCTCTCTCCAAAAAATACAATAAATGGTAGGAAAATAAAAAAAATAGCTTAACCTTTTTAAATGACAAGGAAATAGAAAAGCAATGAACTACAGCATGATATTATTTTGGTCATACTCTTAAGAAAAATAATATCAAATATTGCAAGGCTGCAGAAAAAGTTTAGTTCCTTGTGTTGCTGATGATAGCATAAATTGGTATCATCCTTTTGTTGCGGAATCTGTGATCACAATCAATGAAGATGGACTTTTAGATTTAGAACCTGACTGTGGGATGGATGTCTGTGGCATTGATTATTTTCAGGTATCTTGGGTCATTTCAATTGTTAGGAGTATTTATTATTTAAAAATTACGTACATATATACATGTACATATACATACATACATGTCTGTGTGTGTAGGGTGCATGTATGTTTATGGACATATTATACATCTTATTACATTTCCCTCCTCTTCATTCCTGATTTTCAGGTCCTGATATTATACTTTTTTTTTTTTTTTGAGATAATCTCTCCCTGTCACCAAGGCTGGAGGGCAGTGGTGCAATCTCGGCTCACTGCAACCTCTGCCTCCTGGGCTCAAGCGATCCTCCTGTCTCAGCCTCCCAAGTAGCTGAGACTACAGGCACACACCACCACGCCCAGCTAATTTTTGTATTTTTGGTACAGATGGGGTTTTGCCATGCTGACCAGGCTTGTCTCAAACTCCTGGCCTCAAGTGATCCGCCCACCTTGGCCTCCCAAAGTGCTGGGATTACAGGCGTGAGCCACCACATCTGGCCTATACACTTCTTAAGTAAAGAACTAATACTTAATTTTTTCTCCGATGTCTTGCAATTTTGTAGATTTCTCTGCTATCCCTATGAATGGAATGAACAAACATGCACTCATTTTATATGTATGTGGAAGGTTTTGGATCTAAGGAGATGTTTTTCTTCACTATCTACAGGCATTGATTCTTGTCAACAATAAAATCAGCAAAATTAGCCCTGGAGCATTTACACCTTTGGTGAAGTTGGAACGACTTTATCTGTCCAAGAATCAGCTGAAGGAATTGCCAGAAAAAATGCCCAAAACTCTTCAGGAGCTGCGTGCCCATGAGAATGAGATCACCAAAGTGCGAAAAACTACTTTCAATGGACTGAACCAGATGATTGTCATAGGTACAGACATTTTTATAACTTTAAGACCAAAACTCAAGTTTTACCTTAAGAGATTTCAACTGGGTTTTAGGTGCAGTAAGGTAAATCAGCTACGACCTACATGCCTGGAGCCTATGTGATTTTTAAGAGCAGGGCCAAGAGAAATTGGGATTTTGAATCTGGACCTTACAGTGATGTTTTTATGTCTGTCCTTGAGTATCTGAGAATACGGAGAAAACCCTGGGGCTGAAGTTACCCTACCACATGCACAATATGCAAAAATGAGTTTAAATAGTGCTTAACTAGAGATATTTTGACATACATTTTCATTTTGGGGACCTGTTGTATTCTAAACACTCATAAATCATTTGCTTTAAAAATATGTTATGGCTGGGTGTGGTGGCTCACACCTGTAGTCCCAGCACTTTGGGAAGCTGGAGCAGGCAGATCATGAGGTCAGCAGATCGAGACCATCCTGGCTAACAAGGTGAAACCCCGTCTCTACTACAAATACAAAAAATTAGTGGTTTCGGGGGCCTGTAGTTCCAGCTACTAGGGCAGCAGAGGCAGGAGAATTGCGTGAACCCGGGAGGCGGAGCTTGCAGTGAGCCGAGATCACACCACTGTACTCCAGCCTGGGCGACAGAGCAAAAGTCCGTCTCAAAACAAAACGAAACAAAACAAAACAAAAGTTATAATGTTTCACTAAACATATAGTAAAAATTGTAATTTTATTATTGGCTTATAAAGTGCTAGATTGAAATTCTTTAACAAAATTTTAAAACAACATAGGAAAGTAATAACATAAGATGGGAATTGTAAACTTGCTTTAGTTGATTTCTGGGCAAACTTGTGTATTCATCTTAAATAATTTTATTGTTATTGCTTTCACTAATAGTCTTTTTCATAAGCCATTATTATTCATAAGTCATTGTTGGTTTGGCTTTTGTTTGTTTTAATAAGGGAAATTTTTATCCCATTTTGCTATTCTCCTGAGGAGCATGCCCTTTAATTTCACTTTTGTTTTTTAGTCAAGTTGATATTAATCCCTATTTCTTTATAGATTGCTTGCTGAAACAGATACTACAGTGACTAGTAATATCCTAGAATTTCCTCTAAAAACCTTCCTCTTATTACATTTGTAGAACTGGGCACCAATCCGCTGAAGAGCTCAGGAATTGAAAATGGGGCTTTCCAGGGAATGAAGAAGCTCTCCTACATCCGCATTGCTGATACCAATATCACCAGCATTCCTCAAGGTGATAGAAGATTCTCCAAAACATTTTGAAAAATTTAAATTCAAAGACTTTAATTAAAAAAAAAAATCTTGTGGAAACTTGAATTGTCACTTAAGAGACCAACCTTATTTCCAGCAAATTCTCTATTACTGTTAGTGTTTCATCCAGTGTTTACATTTCCAGCAAATTCTCTATTACTGCTAGTGTCACATCCAGTGCTTCAGTCTGGGGCCACTGGGCCATCCAGGCTCACTGTAGACATGGGTAGACTCCTGTTAATGTCTACTCTAAGACACAACTTAATGCACAGTGATTTTACAATATTGTGAAATCACAAAGAAAAAGTATATTTATTTAAAAAATTAACATGCCTTGGTGTTTGCAAAAAAAAAAAAAACAAGACATATGGGAGTACCTCTGAAATTAATCCAGTTTTCACCTTGGGTCTGCAATACCTTAGGGAATTCTTTTCCAGTTATTAATATCTGAATGATAGTGGTAGTTGTGTGTTGTGAAGAGTGTAGATTTTGGAGTCAGTTTGCTGGAGCCCAAATTACCATCAAATTGTTCAAAGACTTTGAAAAAGTTATTCATTAGTCCTCTATCTCTTTATCTGTCAAGTGGAAATAATACTGCTGTCCACTTCATCAAGTTGTTTTAAAGTTAAATAAATAATTAGAGAAATATTTAGGATATAGATAAGTAGGGAATTAATATAACTCTCTATTATGAATTAAAAATGTTCTGAACAATCAGTATGTGTAGGCGATGTACCACACACTTAAGACAGGGCAGGGAATAGGATATGCTACATGCCTTTAGGAGCTTACTATCTAAAACAAAGCCAGACAAATACACAGCAATGACCGTATAGCCACAAGGGTAATTTCATTGTTCCAAGGGATTCCCAGGAGAGGCACAAAAACCGGTCTTTGTGAATTAGAAAAGGCATCAAACCACCAATAAAAAAATTCCTCTAACTTGCACATCATCCCTACTCTTGGTTTTTCAGTCTCACAAAAGCCCTCTATATTCTCTAGTTTTACCCTCAGTCTGTCCCTTTCTCAACTTAGATGCCTTGTTCTTGAGTGCCTACAAAAATGTAGGCATTTGGCCACAGAAAACATCAGTTGTGCTTTATTGTTCTTTAATAGAAATTTTGACTCCTGAAAGTACATATTCCATAGGATGCTTTCTTACCACCCCTTGCCCTATCCCTAGTCTTTTGAATACAGAGCATGCTTTTGACTCCCTTAGTAGCAACTACTGGGATAGGTAGATACGTAGATGATAAAGACTGATTTATAATTTATAAAGCACTTTCATGTTGAATCTCCAATTTGTTGCATGTAACAAGTGATCTTTTGCTATCTCCAGTGCAGGAATGAAATATTTATATCTCAGATAGATATAAATTGGGGATTTAGAGAGAGAGATTAGATAGATAGATCTTGCTAAAATTCTTGCTGAAATTTATTTCATACAGCCAGATGACTTACATTTAGCACAGCCTCAGACTTTGCTGTCCCTCTTAATGCATGCTCCAAAATATCCTTCACTCATACCTTTTATCATTTCATGATCTCTTTTCCTTTACTTTGCTGTGTCTTCTATCTATCCCAGGTATTCTTTCCTCATCATTTATAGCTTGCTTTTATTTACCACCACTTAATAGAAAAGTTAAGTAACTACAATTTATTAAGCATGTATTTAGTTCCGTGTATCATGCCAAACGCTTGTCATGGAGTCTTTTATATGATTCTTACAACATCCCTATATAGTAGTGTTATCATTCCCATTTCATAAAAGTGGAAAATGAGGCTTAAACAGGTAAAGACAATTATAATTAAGTTCTTAGAGTTAGGAAGCGGCAGAGATGGAATTGTGTGGTGCTGATGTCAGAACTCGTGTGTTTAACTATTTCGCTGTGTTGGCATATTAAGTCCTCCTTTCTATTCATCATTAACCCCTATCTAATACATGATTCCACCTTGCTTAGGCTGGGATACTTATGCCTGAATATCAGCAACCTCCTGGTGATATTTTCTCCCATCACTCATGGAAATGGAAAGGCAGTAGAAAGTAGTGTAGAGACTATAAAAATCATACTTTTAGACCAACCTGGGTGAGAGACCTAACTCAGTCATTTAGTTGTACTGTGACTTTAGGATAATTATTCTGCATTCCTATAACCTCAGGTTTGTTATCTGTTACATGGAGCTATTAATAACACCTATCTACTAGGATTATTGTGAGGATTACTATGTAGAAGTAAGGCTTGTAAGGTACACGCGAGTACTTGGTCCAATATAAACCTCAATATATTTTATCTTAAAAAAGGAAAAGAAAAAAGAAAATTTAAAATAAAAATAAATAAATAAAAGAACTAGAGTATGGGTTCTTTTACTCAATGCCACAGTGGCAGAAGCTAATGATGCACTTTATAAATTTGTCTATCTCAAACCTTTGCTAAGTTTTCTCCCATAGTCAAACTTCTTCCTAACTATAACTTTACATTTGGGAAACTGACATCCCAAAAAGGGAGCCACTTTGAAACTAAGTAAGGGTGATGGATGTGATAGCAATTGGTGTCCTAGAGGCACTGCATTAAAAAATACACATATCTTCATGGCGATAGAGAAGAAAGGGTGTGTATAAAACTTGCTCTGTTATATACACACTTGCTCTACTATGGGGGTATTTAAAAGCATATTTGTTTATTCTCAGAAGAATCAAGTGGTTGAAATCCCTCATTCCCAGAGTGATTGTGATGTCCTAATATTTATTTATAAGAAAAATGTACTTGTTATTTCATTTCCTCCAGTTAAGAACATGCTATTTTAACTTCTTTTTTGCCATCTATAAGCATATTACATTCCCTACCTAATAGAAAGATAATCTACAAAATTTGTAACTTTGAGTCTTATTTCTTTATCTGTGAAAGGGGTCGAGTGACGAATAGTTTATATTTTGAGAAGCTTAAAGGATTTGAGGTAGGAAAAGTGCCAAGGTCAATGTTCGATGAGTAACAGACATACAATAAATAGATGTTCCTTTTCCTAGCAGCTACCACACAAAATATGCTACCATAGGAAACTAAGAAACATTTTCAAGTCAAATATGGACTAAACTATTCTATTAAATGGACAATATTAACAGAATTCAGTGTGATATGATAAAAATTTTAGAGAAAATGAAACCTATGGTTTTTCAATTCTGTGTCTTTATAGACAAATAGCCAAGACTTTCTGCCAATCAGATGCTCTTTCTACACGTAACCAATTTGCTATTTTCTCTGTATCTATTGCTATTAAGTGGAACAATATGCTATTTTAAAAGCTGTATAAAATATAATACATCCTCAGACGCTAGGAGGAAATGAAAATAAAATATTTAAACTTTTATATTTATGATACTCAATCTTTGGAAATTACAGCCATGCAAGTACTATGTAGAGGTTTAGTGGGTACTTTGGATCTGAAATTATTCCCCCAAGTGTTCCACATATGGTAGATCACTTGATTATAGACCTCTCCACTCCTCCTGCATAAACATTCTGGATTTAATAGGCATGAGTAAACGTTAGCTGTTTCTACACAGACATTTTGCAGAGGTTTTTGATGTTTTTATGGAAAAGTCAATTAAGGCTAAGACCAACATAGCATATCAGTGTTAATTTTTAATGATGCTCATTAATGAAATAGACAATTAAGTTTGTATATGGGTTTGATTTATATGTAATCTCTTCATTATGGTTCGAATAGTGACCTTCCCACTTTACAGTTACTATCTTTTATCAATGTCAATTTTAGCCCATTAACAAAGGTGGAAGAGAATAATGAGACTCAGCATTGACTTCAGTTCTTCTATTCCAAGAACAAAAATCGACTACTTGATAAAAATAATCCAGGTTTTTGTTAAAGTCAACCTAAGAGAAAAATAGTAAGGGCTTCCACTACTTCCAAAAGCACACATTATTATAAAAGGGATGAAAAAAAAGATAAGTAAAACTGATTCTTTGAAACCGTGTATCTTTTAGAAAATTGATGGCATATGTCTTCTTTAAGTCTGTCCACATTCCATACTTACAATGTTTATCTGCTAATTCAACATCTTCAACTTCACATTCCAGGTCTTCCTCCTTCCCTTACTGAATTACATCTTGATGGCAACAAAATCAGCAGAGTTGATGCAGCTAGCCTGAAAGGACTGAATAATTTGGCTAAGTAATAATCTTTCATTACATTCTATCAGAACAATGGCTAGGTATATTAGTGCTTATATGGTAAGAATTACAAATGTGATTATTGATTTTTGACTGTACTACATTTTCGCTGCTGCTGTTGTTTCTAATAATCTCAAACTTCAGCATATCTAATGATTTCTTGAGAAGAAGCCCATGAAATAGTTACACTTACTAAAACCAGCAAGATCAGCTTCACATTTTATTAATACTACGCTGTTTATAGATTAGTTATATTTTATACACAAAGTGTGTGATTAAATCAGTATGTGCATTTAGTATGTTCTAACTTAGTTGCATCAAACAGAAGGTTAAGTAAATTATAACACAGTTTCCAGAATTGGAAAATACATTAAAATGAAGTCTACCAAGACAGAGAAATATTGAGCATCACACAAATTACTATTTTAATAGTTATGAGATTCTCTAACCCTCTCTTCTCTGAAAAGTTTAAAATAAAATATCTCTGGACATTTAATGTAGATCAACAAAAGAAAAGCTTTTGTTTTTGTCGTCGTTGGCCCTTCTTAATGATTTTTTTAAAAAATAAGTGATACTAGTACTTGTCCTGGTTTCAAACATAACTTCAATCTGGCAAACGTTTTCATTTGTCTTCAAGGAACACTATGTTATTTTTTATGTGTATATATTACTGACTGTCCCTACAGAGAAGCACAATATCATGTCAGATTTACTCACTCCTGTTTTTATATATACATTTCATGGTGGGTAAATAAATATAAAATATATCTTTGAATATATATATATGTATATATATGTGTGTGTGTGTATAATCAACTCCTTTACTAGATAAAATATTCTTTGATGGGAAAAGTGGTTTTTGATCCATGAGACCTCTGTCCCTCACAGTGCCTAACATAATATCATGCACATAATAAGTTTTCAAGAACATTTGTTTATTAAATATACAAATAAATATTTGAATAAGTGAACGGTTTTTAAAAATAAGTTATTAGGAATATTATGTTCTAATAATATTAATAACTTAGGATATTGTAAGGAATAGGAGACTATGTCCAATCATGTTCTGTCAGATGAATCTCAAAGAGAGTGACTTTGAGCCGAGACTTTAATAATACATGGGCTTTGTCCAGGCTCAGAGAGGTTGGAGAAAGCACTCCAAGAACTGGGAACAGTTAAGTACAGAAACAAAAAATGTCCTTTCCTATGGACTTGATTAATTACACAATGCATGTAAGAAAGGCGTCCATGTGTGGTGTTTGCTTCCATTTCTGCTTTCTGTTGCAGGTTGGGATTGAGTTTCAACAGCATCTCTGTGGTCGACAATGGCTCTCTGGCCAACATGCCTCATCTGAGGGAGCTTCACTTGGACAACAACAAGCTTACCAGAGTACCTGGTGGGCTGGCAGAGCATAAGTACATCCAGGTAATGCAAAGCCACTGCTTATGTGAGGAATATCCAGGGAGCAAGACTCCCATCCCACTTATAGGATGCTAGGAGGCAGGAAGCTCTTCTTAGAATTTTTTTTTCAGAGTGTCTTAGTTAGAATTTCTATGACAAAATACCATTAAAAAATTAAATCAAGAAGCACAACTTACATTAGCTAGATTTCAATAAAGTTTTTGATTTAAAAATATGGAGATGAAACTTAGAGTCTTTTGTAATGCTGATTTTTTTCAGTAGGGTTGGTGTTGGTGGTGTTGCCATAGTGAGTAGGGGGAGTTTGAAGCCCCAAGTAAAATCAAAATTCTTTTTTTTTCACCGTCATTATTAATTTTAGTTTTCAAATTATTCAAGAATTGACTAGGAGGAGCTTCTATGGTCTAGCTCCTGCCTCTTTTTGGCATGGCCTCATCATTTTTCTTTATTTCCTCTAAAAGAAAGAGATACATTTGCAGAATGTGCAAGTTTGTTATATAGATTTACATGTGCCGTGGTGGTTTGCTGCCCCTATTGACCTGTCCTCTAAGTTCCCCCATCACCCACTACACCCTGTTGTGTGTTTTGTTACCCTCTGTGTCCGTGTACTCTCAATGTTCAACTTCCACTTATGAGTGAGAACATGCAATATTTATTTTTCTGTTCCTGTGTTAGTTTGCTGAGGATAATGGCTTCTAGTTTCATTTATGTCCCTGCAAAGGACATGATCTCATTCCTTTTTATGACTGCATAATATTCCATGGTGTATATGTACCACATTTCCTTTATCCAGTCTATCATCGATGGACATTTGCATTGGTTCCATGTTTTTGCTATTGTAAATAGTGCTGCAATAAATATATGTGTGCATGTGTCTTTATAGTAGAATGATTTATATTCCTTTGGGTATATACCCAGTAACGGGATTGCTGGGTCAAATGGTATTTCTTGTTCTAGATCCTTGAGGTATTGCTACACTGTCTTTCACAATGGTTGAATTAATTTACACTCTCACTAACAATGTAAAAGCATTCCTATTTCTCCACAGCCTCATCAGCATCTACTGTTTCCTGACTTTTTAATAATCACCATACTGACTGGTGTGAGATAATATGTCATCTCCAGCCACAGGGAATCATTAATCTATTTTATCATTGTTGTTTGTTTCATAGACCATAGTTTTGTGTAGATTCTGAGAATTCTTTAACATCTATAAATTTTATAATTTTATAAAACTTTGGTTTTATAATCTAATTTTGAGATAACCCTAGTATATGATATGAGTCCCCCCTCTCCCACAACCCACCCATTGCATTGGCTGGAATCGCCAATGCAATGTTGCATAAAGGTGATGAAATTAAACATCTTTGCCCTATTTGTTAGTTTAGGAGGAGGGGGCATTCATTTTACCATTAGTTACGATGTTAGCCACAGGTCTTCCATAGGTGTTCTTTATCAAGTTGAGGAAGTTCCCTTCTATTTCTAGTTTACTGAAAACATTTATTATGAATTTTTTTTTCTTACATGTTTTTCCTGCGTCTATTGAGATAATCATGCAAGTTTTGGCCTTTATATGTTTGATATAGTGTATTACGTTGATATTACTTTGATTTTCATACGTTAAACCAATTTTACAACCCTGAGATAAATCATTTTTGGTCCCATAGTATAAAATCATTCTATATGTTGTGAAATGTAGCTTCCTAACATTTTGTTAGAGATTTTTTGTCCATATTCATAAGAGAGATTTGATTACATTTTTTTTTCTTATGATGAATTTTGTCTGGCTTTGGTCTTAGAAAATATTGACCCCATAGAATGAGTTTGGAATCTACTTTTATTTTGCTCTACACAGACTAATACTTATGTCTTGATATTTTCTTCTCTCACTTTCAAGATTAACCATAAATGCTCACCAAACACCCCTTCCTTTTGTTGTTAATCACTACTGGAATATAGAGGATGGTAAATGACAACAAGAAACTTCCAAAAGATGAGAATCATAAACCATGTATATAAGTGTTGCTTTCACTTTAATATTCCTTGTTTTCCTGTTTTTATATGACATCTACTTTTAAGCCCTTACAGAAACAAAGCCATTTTCACCAGTACATGAATGTGAATGTCCTAGTGGGTAGAGCAAATATTTCAGATTTTTTTTTTTTTTTTTTTTGAGACGGAGTCTCGCTCTGTCACCTAGGCTGGACTGCATGCAATGGCACGATCTCAGCTCACTGCAACCTGCGCCTCTCAGGTTCAAGCAATTCTCCTGCCTCAGCCTCCCGAGTAGCTGAGATTATAGGCATGCGCCGCCATGCCTGGCTAATTTTTGTATTTTTAGTAGAAACGGGGTTTCACCATGTTGGTCAGGCTGGTCTTGAACCCTGACCTCGTGATCCACCCGCCTCAACCTCCCAAAGTGCTGAGATTACAGACATAAGCCACCACGCCTAGACTTTCAAGTTATTTTTTTAAGGGAGTACTTCATAGATTTCATAGCTCACTTAAGACCTTGTTGTCTTAGCGTTATATTTTAACCTTGCTTGTATCATTTCAGAGAAGATGCTTCTTGACCTACAGAACTTATATCCACAAAGTGAAGTGTAAACTCACTTCTAACATTCTTTGTATAAGTCTGGTATTTAGTGACCCTAAGAAAATCTATGGACAAATTACCATTATCTTAAACATGATTGTAAAACAAAATTCAGAAAAAAATCTCTGATTAATTTTATTGCACTGTATTCATCAAGTAAAATGTATTATGTAAAATACATGTCTGTTAAAACTTCCTAGGTCTATTCATTCTAAATGCTGTGATATTTAAATATTTAAGAATTTCTTGGAATTCCTGATTCTTTATTTCAATTCCTGTACTTTACGCTCTCTTTTTCTTTTTCACTACACAGCACTTTCTTGTTCTATATAATTTTGTTAAAAGGTTTATATATTTTTTTGCCCTGAAAACATAATATTTCATGTAGACCCAATATAGTCATGTAGACCTGATATATGAAATAACATTTATTCCTTCAACACATATGTATTGAACACCTGCTCTGTTCTAGTACTGGAGATACAGCCATAAATGAGCAGAACCATTCCTGTCTCATGGAGCTTTTACTCTACAGGAGATAAACAAACAATAGCAAATAAGCATAATATGCTATATATTGATAATGCTATGAAGAAAAATGCAGAAATGTAATTCTGCCACAGAGAATGACAGAATGGGGTGGTCAGGGAAGGTCTGTCTGGTAAGAAAAAGTGAATTACATGAGGCAGGAAGCCTTGCAGACACCTTAGAAATTATGCCAGGTTGAGTTAATGGTGTTGACAACTTAAGAAGAGATCATGCTTTGTGCATTAGAAGAGCAGCAAGTAGACCAGATGATTGACTTGTACAGTAAGAGAAGAGGAGGTCAGAGTAGAAGGATGTCAGACCATGTAGGATTTGTAGACCCCTTTGAGAACTTTAGATTTTATTATTCTGCATGAGATGGGAAACCACTGGAGTTCTGAGGCAAAGAACATATAATTTGGTTTACTTTTTAAAGCAATTGCTCTTAGAGCTTAAAAAAAGAGGATAAAATTTCGGAAGGCAAAAGGGGAAGCAGGAAGAATAATCAGGGCAACTTCAATCATTTGGAAAGAAACAATGGTGTCTTGGACAAGGCTGTAGGAGTAGACATGGAGAGAAGAACTAGATTAAGTGTACATTTTGAAGGCTGAGCTAGCAAGATTGGTTGTTGATTATGTAGAGAGCATAAGGGAACTGGAGCTCAAGGATAATGACAATGTATACAGCCTGAGCATCTGAAATGATTGGCATGCAATTTATTGAGATGAGGAAGACAAGACCAAAGAAGGGAAAAACAAATTTTCAAAAGGAAGGGAGAAATCAAAAGTTTAATCTGAGAAGTAATCAGTTATTCAAAGTGGGGCCGGTTGCAGTGGCTCACGCCTGTAATCCAAGCACTTTGGGAGGCTGAGGTGACTGGATCACTTGAAGTCAGAAGTTCGAGACCAGCCTGGCCAACATGGTAAAAACCCATCTCTACTAAAAACAAAAATTAGCCAGTCATGGTGGTGTGTGCCTGTAGTCCCAGCCACTCAGAAGGCTGAGGCAGGAGAATAGCTTCAACCTGGGAGGCAGAGGCTGCAAGGCACTGAGGTCACGCCACTGCACTCCAGCCTGGGTGACAAAGCAAGACTCCATCTCAAAAAAAAAAGTGAAGGATTAAAAAATAATAAAAAGAATAAAATATTTACCTGAAGGGCCTCAACATATTTAGAGAATGGTAATTATCTTCTGTTGTTTCATGTTGTAGGTTGTCTACCTTCATAACAACAATATCTCTGTAGTTGGATCAAGTGACTTCTGCCCACCTGGACACAATACCAAAAAGGCTTCTTATTCGGGTGTGAGTCTTTTCAGCAACCCGGTCCAGTACTGGGAGATACAGCCATCCACCTTCAGATGTGTCTACGTGCGCTCTGCCATTCAACTCGGAAACTACAAGTAATTCTCAAGAAAGCCCTCATTTTTATAACCTGGCAAAATCTTGTTAATGTCATTGCTAAAAAATAAATAAAAGCTAGATACTGGAAACCTAACTGCAATGTGGATGTTTTACCCACATGACTTATTATGCATAAAGCCAAATTTCCAGTTTAAGTAATTGCCTACAATAAAAAGAAATTTTGCCTGCCATTTTCAGATCATCTTTTGAAGCTTTCTGTTGATGTTAACTGAGCTATTAGAGATATTCTTATTTCACTAAATGTAAAATTTGGAGTAAATATATATGTCAATATTTAGTAAAGCTTTTCTTTTTGAATTTCCAGAAAAAAATAAAAAGAGTATGAGTCTTCTGTAATTCATTGAGCAGTTAGCTCCTTTGAGATAAAGTCAAATGCCAAACACTAGCTCTGTATTAATCCCCATTATTACTGGTAAGCCTCATTTGAATGTGTGAATTCAATACAGGCTATGTAAAATTTTTGGTAATGTCATTATTTTGAAAAAATAAATTTAAAAATACATTCAAAATTACTATTGTATACAAGCTTAATTGTTAATATTCCCTAAACACAATTTTATGAAGAGAGAAGACATTGCTTTGTTGACAATAACAGTTTATCTTTTCAAGTTCTCAGCTATTTCTTCTACCTCTCTCTGTCTTACATTTGAGTATGGTAACTTATGTCATCTATGTTCAATGTAAGCTTATAAAGCACAAAGCATAAATTTCCTGATTGGTCTAGAGAACTGATGTTTCAATTTACTCCTCTGCTAAATAAATATTAAAACTATGATGTGACTTCATGTAATCAGACTGAACATTTCTACAATTACTAGATGTATTAGACATAAGTATTTTCTTTAGTTAAACCACCAATGTTAGAAATGTTTTCTGTAGAATTTAGAAACAGCTACCAATGTAGACAATTTAATAAGCCTGGGGATGATTTACTTCGAGTAGACATTTATCAAATTGTACATTTGTGCTATCAACAGTTAATAAGCAAATATGTGGAAATAGTTTTTGTCTTCTATGAAGTTGGATATTTGATGGTTAAAGGCCCTATAAATCATAGTTTCATATGGGAAAAATAATTGAAATACTACAGGATAAATTTAAATAATTTATTAAATGCAGCAAATACTTGATATATGGTGGAATAAATTTTATCACAGAAATATATGCAAGTTACAGTAGAGGTTCACATGAGGGGTAATCAATTCCGCTAATAGCAGAATGAGTGCAGTGGAACACGAAAAACTTGAGGAGATAACAGTTGAGGTGGGTTTCTGTAGATGCATAATAGTCCAAGAGCAAGATTGGATGGGGAGGCACTATTCAAGACAGGGACTAAGTTCCAAATCCAAGAGGTATGTCTGGATACATCTCTGACAGGTTGGCATAAAGAAAGCTTAAACTCTTTTTCTTTTTCTGAAACAGAAGCAATAATTTTCATTTACATTTGATATATCTCGAGCTAATATTAACATTAGGGAAAGTTACTGTTTTCCATCTTTCCACATTCTTGCAGGACCATAAAATTGGAATTTTCCAGTATGTTTTATAAGAGTGGGGGAACCTCTCTTTTTCTTCTCTTTTTCATCTCCCAAGAAATCCTCCTGTCATGACTACAGTTGAAGAGGTGGTTTCTACTGGAACACGTTCAGGAATTCAAGGTGCATGTCCGTCAGTGGACATTTTGTTGTTGTTCAGAGCTGGACCTTGAATGATGCATCCTTCTCTCTGTTGTAACCGTGAATAATGCACCCTTCATGCTATAGCCTTTACCGATTCACCCTTCTTATTGTAACCTTGAATGATGCACCCATTATGGTGTAGCCTTGAGTTATGCACCCTTCATGTTGTAGCCTTCAGTGATGCACACTCTATGTTATAGCCTTGAACACCCTTTATGTTGCAGCCTTTCTCTTATGAGGAAAAGCCTGCAGTTATCTTGCTGCTTAATTGACAACTGTGGTGAGAAATAAGTAGAAATCTAAAGACAGGAAGACCATTTTGGACACTTATCTGTAAGGCAGATTCAACACACTTTTCCAGTAGTCAAGCTATTTCTAATTTGGTTCAATATCAAAATGAGAGACAGTCCTGATTCTCCAGTACTCTTAAGTGTCAACACAACTTCCCCCCATATATATATTTATATATATACACACACATATATATATCTTTATATATTTTTTTGTATATATACATATATGTATCTTTATTTCCTTTGAAATAAAGATAAATATAGCTCATTTCTTTGACTTCCACACTTACTGTTTGCATGACTAAGGGAAGTTAGTTAACCTTTCTGTGACTCATTTCCTTGTCCATAAAATGAGAATATTAAGTGTACATGTCTTATGGATTGGTATGTAAATTCAGTTAGCGAGTGTAGAGTATAACTTTTAGATAAACATAGAGTAAATGGAAAGGGCTCAACTATGGTTGTTGCTACTGCCATTGTTATTACAGGCACACAGTTGGAGCTATAATAATCTCAAGGGAAATTCTTACGTGTCAGGTCTGGATTGAGGTCTGAGATTCTGCATTTCAAACAAACTTCCAGCAATGCTGCTGCTTCTTGGTCCACACTTGGAGAAATATTAGTCAGCAGAGAGTCCTCTCATTTCCTATTGTACCCTGTCTGTCTTTTGTCTCCTGCTTTTTGGCCTCTTTAAGGAACTCACAGCTGCTATAATAAAGTACCAAAAACTGGGTGGCTTAAAACAACAGAAACTTATTCTCTCACAATTCTGGAGGCTAAAAATTCAAAATCAAGGTGTCAGCAGGGTCAGGTTCCTCCCAAAGCCTTTAGAAGAGGACCTTTCCTTGCTCCTCCTAGGCTTCGGGTTAGATCTAGTTGTTCTTTGCCTTATGGCAGCATGACTAATTTCTGCCTCCATCTTCATCCTCACATGGCCTTCTCGCTCATGTGTTTGTGTCTTTTCTCTTCCTCTATGAACATGAGTTATATTGGATTAAGGCTCACCCTGATTTAGTATGAACACATCTTAACTTGATTATATCTGCAAAGACTCTATTTCCAAACGAAGTCAGACTCACAGGTATTGGGGGTTCAGTCTTGAACATATCTTCTAGGAGGAATATTTGTTCAACTTAATCACTCATATCCACTTTCTTTTTTCCTTCTTAAATGTTTAATTATCTTTTTGTTTTAGTAAAACTCTTATTTGATTATGTGTGGTTCACATAAAAGGTTGAAAACTTATTAATTTGTCTCTGACCCCCCCGGTTGGAAAAGCCTCTGTTGTACATTTATGCTAGCCTAGGCCATACCACTTTCTGTCTTCAGGACAGCCATCTTAGTTTATCAAGTGACACAGATTTTCCAGAACACAGTACTCATGTTCTTTTAAAGCATTTCTCGTCAAAGACTTTGATCTGGCAATAAATGTTACTATGTAATTCTCATGACATAAATTAGACATAAGTTAGATCTCCTCTTCTTCTGCTCATTCATTTGTCTGAATCATCACTATTATCTTTTTTATGTTCCTTTACCCTTCTCCATAACGCTCTTTCAAGAAACCATTTTATTCCACAATTTTATTGCAGAAGCAGCTGCAGGATGTCATAATCTTATCTTTATACAAAGGAAGAAATGCCTAATCCCTCAAGTAAACTAAAAATGTTGTATAAAGTCATTTCTCATTCATCCAATGTTCCAGGCAGTCCTGGTCCAGGACTGCCCCTTCACACACACAACAGCTCTTCACAAGACTTCATTGTCCTTCAGACGCTCCTGCAGCACAGACAGTCGAGGTTGCTGAGTCGACATTGCAGTCGTTTCACTCTTGATTTTGTGGCTCAATTTTAAATTCCCACACTTATTGCTAAAACATTCCTTCTAGTGGATCTGCTTATGGATTCAAGCACACCATCTGTCACAATTACTTCAAATCACAGGTCTGTGACAGACTGTCAATTTCACACTACAAAATATAATAGTGGAAAACAAAGTAAAATCAAGAAAAGGAGAACACTAAACTTATTAAAACCATATACAAGCACAAACATTCAGGAAAGCAAAAGAACCTTCAATGAAGTTGAACAATTTTTGAACCAAGAGAAAGGCCATATGCACACCCTACCCCAGTATAAGATAACCAGACAAGGACTGGGTGAGTTGCCTCCTGAGTATTATGACCGCCATCAATCACTTAGGCATTGGAGATCAGGAGACTCTTCCCAGGCCATACATTCTGTAGGGACTGTGAGGGCTGAAAGAATGCTTCCAGGCTATCAGGAACAAGCACAAAACCACAAATCAATTTTAAAATACACTCAAAAATGTCAAAACAATCCAACTTTTTTGTCTTGATCAGACATATCTACTAGCACATATTACCTCATTTATTCAGCCAATATTTATTAATAACCTACTGTGTGCTTGACACTGTTCTAGTGGCAGAGACACAGCAGCGCATAATGCCCTGCTCTCTGCAGCAGATGTTGCAGCAGGAGGAGACATTCCAGGACATGACAATTAAAGTGGAGGAATGTCAAGCAGAACAGGGGAATAAGGGATGTGAAGGGGGTGAGACTCACTATTTTATATAGGATGGTCAGAAAAAGACCTTATCAGGAGTGACATTTGAGCAGAGAGATGAAGAACTGAAGGGAGCAAGCGAAAAAAATAGGCCCTGAATTTGGAAAAAATACATGACAGGTTCCAACAAGACCAGAGAGGACAAACGTGAGAAGAGTAAAGTGAACAAGGAGAGATAATATATGATACAAGGTCAGAAAGGTAATGACAACTGCATCCTGTAGGACTCTTTAGGCCATTGTAAAGATGAGTTTTTACTCTGAGTAAGACAGGGAGCTATTAGAGGGCTCTCAGCAGAGGAGTGACCTGATTCAACTGTCTTGAGAGGATCCCTTTGCGTGTATAGACTGTAAGGTAACAGGAATAGGCCAAGAGAGAGTATTTCGGATACTAGTCCAACAATCAGCTGAGAGATGAGGAAGACTTTGACCTGGATAATAGTAGAAAAACTGTTGAGAAGGGATCAAAATATGGGTTTGTTTTTATGGTAGAGAGGCCAGGGATGGCTGAATGATCAGATGGGGCATGAAAAAGAAAGAGAAGAGACAGAGATGACTTCAGGAATTTTGGCATGGGCCACTGGAAGGATTAAGTCACCATTTACTGAGATGGGAATGACTGGGAGGTTGAGTTGGAAGAACTGAGAATCAAATATCTGGTTTTGAATCTGTTCTTTTTGAGATGCATATTCAACTTCCATATGGATGTGTCAAGAAGGATTTAGATCTAGAATTTTAGAGTTCAAGGGAAAGGGTTGAGCTGTAGACATAAATTCTAGAGATGCCAGAATATAGATAATGATCCTTCTTTATCAGCACAGAAATGACTTGACTTTATCCAAACTAAGCTATCATACTGTACATGTTAGCAACACATTTTACAGGGCCAATTTGGCCTTTTGCAATGTTCTGTGGTTTCTAAGATAAATAAACATATTATATGTTTCTCTCTGGATGCCTTTGCTATGATCCTGTCAGCATTTCCAAAACAGTTCTTGCTTGAACACCACCCAGGAAAGAAAAAAGCCTTTTGAGAAAGAAATCATTGTTTTTTTTTTTTTTTTTTTTTTTTTTTTTTTTTTTTTAAATCGCTGTGTTTTGACTTATGAGTTTAAAACTTATAAAAACAGTCTAGTTTCTGTTCTCTTCAAGAATTCACATTAACAAAAGTGTGGCTTGGTGCCTGTATTGAATGTGAGTTGATAACTTGCTGGTGGTTTGAC